TTAAACCCTGGCGTTGCCCGTTCATTTACAGCGCACAGGGGCCTGCTCTGTTTAATCTGAAGGCCCCGAGCAAGTTTAATAAACCTGGCAACACAAGCTAGCTGAAATATGATTGGTTAAAAACTAAAAACTCTACCATAAGTTATTTTTTGAGTGGCTTTCAATGTTATTTAAAATAACATTGAAAGCCACTCAACTAAGTGGAAATAATATGACATAAAGAATACAGAGAATAATTTTGTTAACATATTTATGAAAATAAAATAAAATAAAATTTATGTTATTCTCAGAAACTTTTCTGAGAATGTTTAGGCCAGCAGAGAAGGCCTTGCTGGCCCTCGGGGTCCGCCACTGGTAATAATACTGGTTACAGGCTTTATATGTACTTCTTGGACAAGTCAAAAGATGTTTTTGTCATAAATGTTGTATGTGTATTTAATAAAATTATTCCCACACTCAGAGACAATTTCCAGAAATCAAATGTAATACTCAAAGCCAAACAGATTTGATCATGTCTGATGGACTAATTTGGCCACCTCTGCAGGAGGCAGCTCTGCGTCATGGCACAAAAACTCCTCGGTATCTACACATTGCAAGCAACAAAACCAACGCTTGGGGTCATCAGCGTTCCTATAGACTCCAAGTAATAAGTTTCACTGGAGACCATCTCCCAGAGAGTGAGAGAGAGGAACGAGCCATGTCCTGGGCCAGGTGAGACCAAACAGCTTCAACAAAATCTTTATATTTATAATCTGAAACTCATACTATGAGGAAAGAGAATGCTAATTTATAACGTGTTTCACATGTTTTTTTCAAATACAGTTTAAAAAATGATGTACATCTCCAGCCATCCATTTTCTGATCCACTTATCCTCACAAGTGTCGCGGGGCATACTGGAGCCTCTCCCAGCTGTCTTTGGGCAGAAGGCGGGGGACACCCTGAACCGGTTGCCAGACAATCGCAGGGCACACATAGACAAACAACCATCCGCGCTCACACTCACACCTCACCTAGGGACAATTTAGAGCAGGGGTGTCAAACTCATTTCACATGGTGGGCCACATACGGCCTCGGTAGATGTCAAGTGGGCCGGACCATTAAAATGATACCATACTTTGCTATAAATAACCAAAACAATGTCTTTCCTTTGTTTTGGTATAAAGAAGCACAAGAACATTAGGAAAATGTTGAAATTTAATGAACATATCTTTTACAAAATATTTCATGAAGCACCTTACATTTCCTTCGACAAATGTGCAATTTACTTTTATCATTCACATATATGCATTGCAAATGATCCCACTGATTGTACAAACATTAACAAGTAATTGATATTGAAAAATATAGTAATGCACTTTAAGATTAAACGAGATTCATAAAGAAAGGAAGTTTTAAACCATTTACACGTGCATATAAAATCTAAATGTAATCTTACAAACTAAGGAGAGTGCTATTAAATGTGTAAATGTGAGAGTGCTATTGATAGCGTCTGCTGTCATGGGTCTGTCACAGTCACGGACTGAGGCTGCTGTTGTCTTCTTCTCTGATCAAAACAGTGTCCCCTTGCGGATACTCAATGAATTGCACCTTATTAAAAATATTAATTCTGTCTTTAATGCATTTTTTTCACTTTTAAATTATCCTGCGGGCCTAATTGAACCTCCTTGCGGGCCGGTTCCGGCCCGCGGGCCGTATGTTTGACACCATGCTTTACATAATCATCTCGCGGGCCGGATTAAACTCCTTTGCGGGCCGGATCCGACCCGCGGGCCGTATGTTTGACACCCCTGATTTAGAGTGTTCCATTAACCTGCCACGCATGTTTTTGGAATGTTGGAGGGAACTGGAGTACCCACAGAAAACCCACACAATACACAGGGAGAACATGCAAACTCCACACAGGAATGCCGCAGCTGGAATCAAACCCTTTTGTTTGGGTTGCCACTGTAGAGTTGTGCACACGTAATTGTCAAAATAATTTGTCAAAATAGTAAAGAAAATACCTATGTAGGCCAATTACCAAAATGTCTGTTTTCATAGACTCTCTTTTTAAACAGTGATATAACTATAACATAGACTGCCTAAAGATTCACAACGTGATATACTGTATCAGTGAAAAATAGTATAATAATTGTCAGGAGTTCCTGAGTACTCCGGAACAGAATCGGCTTACAAAAGCGTAGACACAGATAAGAGTTGACAAGATGACAAGATTTATCAAAATGCAAGACAAAGTACAACCAAAGACGCTGGAAACAAAGAACCAGGATAAAAGGAGACAAACCAAAAACACTTGCAAAAGGCAAGGACAAATGTAAACGTAAATTGCTTGTCACCAAAGGACAAGGAAACCCACTACACGTGCTGTTTAATACAAACCGAGAATAATACTTTAAACGGGAATTACTGACTTGAAAATATTAGAAAAATGTGAAGTGAGAAGTACGAGGTAAAGTCATGAGCGTCTAGAAAATACAGGGACTTGGAAACTCGAGTCATGAGCAAGGCTGAATAATCCATCCATCCTTACATCCATTTTCCATTCCGCTTATCCTCACAAGGGTCGCTCGCGCGGGGCGCTGGAGCCTCTCCCAACTGTCTTCGGGCAGTAGGCCGGAGACACCCTGAACCGGTTGCCAGCCAATCGCTTGGCACACAGAGACAAACAACCATTCACGCTTACACTCACACCTTGGGACAATTTTGAGTGTTCAATCAGCCTACCATGCATGTTTTATTTGGAATGTGGGAGGAAACCAGAGTACCCGGAGAAAACCCACACAGGCCCAGGGAGAACATGCAAACTCTACACAGGGAGGCCGGAATTGAACCTTTGCACTGTGAGGTCGAGGCGTGAACCACTGGACCACCGGGCTGCCGCTGAATAATCCAACAGTAAATTTTTTATGTGGCTGAACGTTCCGAGGCAGAGGGATAACGAGATTTGTGACAGGTTCGGCTATGGGGGAACGCCCTCCATTCCCGCCAGAGACCGGAACACAAACAGGACAGGATCATGACAATAATAGAACTGTACATAATACATTTGTGAAATACTATGCCAGAAACACATTTGTTAAAAAAAAAGACAAATAACAGTGCGTTATCATTATTCCTAGAAATATGTCATTTATTAAATTTCATACACTGTATTTTTTTAAATCTAGATTATTTTGCATTGCATTTGTTGATTTGCTCTGTGGCAGAGATTCTGTTTGTCCCTCCCATTTCCACTTTCCCAATTTTCCCTGATTCTCTTCTCCTTTGTGAGCAGGTATAAAGTTGCCATCACTAAGTATAAAGACTTGGAGAAGACTAGCAGCAGTTTATACAATCAAAACAATATATGGAACCCAGCAGTTGACTTCAGCAAGTACATCGAAGACAATGAAAACATTGAAGATGAGGTACATTGTGACCGAAGCCACAAATTCTGATTGAAATGTACACCTAAGGCATTAAGTATGCAGCTCTGCTTTTGTTCCCAGACATATCTGCCTATTTGTTTGAATGTTTATTGTAGGATTTAGTTGCCTGGGTGACCACTGGATTTCTCCACATCCCGCATGCCGAAGATATCCCAAACACTGTTTCTGTGGGAAATGGTGGGGGTGTCTTGCTGCGACCCCATAACTACTTTGATGAAGACCCTTCCATTCACTCTGCTGATGGGGTGTACTTCAGTCCAGGCAGTGAAGATACCTGTGAAAACAACAGGATGGGCTGCCTTGCTCAAGAGACCTGCAGCCCTGTGCTGGAACCCTTCACATACAATGGCTTTGAAACAGTCATGAAGTTTGAGGACTGAGCAGAAAAAGACCTAGAGTACTTGTACATTGTACATTTTTGGGGTAGTTGTGATACATCATCCAATAAAAACCCACATATATACACACACGCGCGCACACACACACACACACACACACACACACACACACACACACACACACACACACACACACACACACACACACACACACGCACACACGCTTGTTATACACACAGATGAGTTTTTTATTACCATATTTTCTGCACTATAAGGTGCTTCAGATTATATTTTAAAACTGTTTTCATATGTAGGGTCCTCTGCATTATAAGGCGCATAGAATAGAAGCTACAATAGTGGCTGCGGTTGTGCTATGTCTCCACTAAATGGAGCTATGCTAAAGTGAATACAATACAATACAGCTTTATTTATATAGAGCAGTGGTCCCCAAACTACGGCCCGCGGGCCGGATCCGGCCCGCCCCCGCATTTGGTCCGGCCCCCTGAAAATACCACCGAGGATTTTAACTATTTCATAAACACAGATACAATAAGGTGACATTTGGTGCATATTTCTGTGCCGTTATCTGGCAACGCCAGAAAAAAAAAATCCGAAACCGGCCCCTCTCTCAGAGAACGGGATCATGGCGAAAAGGTTCAGTAAGAGAAAAATAGAATGCGGGGTATTTAACCCAAAGTGGACAAACGATGTTTTTGTTTCTTTCAGCGCAAAGAAACGTCTATCAGTCTCATCTGTCAAGAGGCGGCTTCATTTTGTGTGGGTTTCTGGAAAACAATCCATTTTTACATTTCCGTACTCTTGCGGCCACCCTTTTTCTGTTCCAGACTGACCCCGGCCCCCACATCACAGAAGCGAAAGCTTATGCGGCCCTCACAGGAAAAAGTTTGGGGACCGCTGATATAGAGCCTTCACAACTGCTGCAACTGTAAAAAAAAAAACATGAAAACTGGTCACAAACATGGACGTGAAACATATAAATACAGATAGCATTACAAAACAATAAATGAAAGACAAAACTTATGAAGACAATTCAACAAAAAGGCACACAAACCTTGTGGGCTTACATCCACAAGGGGCTAAATTTCCTTATAAGTCTTGCTTGTCTCCTTCTTCCTTTGTTTAGTCAGTAGTTAACTCTGCTTTTGGTATTATCTTCGTTTCATAATGGCTGCGCAGATCTCATCTGTTTGAGTGTGTGTTGGCAAATGAACATGTCAATAAGTATCGGGTAGGGCCCTTTGAGGTTAGAATTGATTCCTATTCCTATATATATATATATATATATATATATATAAGGCGCATAGGATATGCACTGTCAGCTTTTGGGATAATTGAATGCTTTTAGGTGTGCCTTATAGTGTGGAAAATACGGTGGGTCTATATTGTGTTTTGCCATGCTCACTTGGTTTTTTAACCTGCACACAAAAAGTGATTGTCAGGTTTGTGTCGAGTCTGTCTTTTCTAATTACGCGAAAAAGAATGGTGTGATAATAATGGAGTTAAACATGCAAAAAAGTGATTGCTGAGTTAACAGCAGAGTTAGACTAATTTTGTGAAGCATGCTGTTTGTATTTTAAAGGTATTATTTTAATTTGCATTGAATGTGTCACATGCCATTCGATATGCTGTACTTGAATGTACATTTCCACAAGTTAGGTTTTCTCTGGTTACTCCGGCAGCCCCCAAAACACGTTGAGCAGTCTGCAAGCATAGGCCTTTGGCTCCAGCCTACTTGTGAACCTAAATGGAGTAAGCAGTAGAAAAGAATTACATGAATTATATCACTAATAGTAAGCATAAATGGATCTCACCAATGTGTCTTATCTGTAGTGTGTTGGGTCCACACAATAAAAATGGCTGGTCAAAAGGCACAAATATAATGCATTTTTTTATTGTCTTTTCAGTGCTTGCACATTTGTTTGTATGTGGCTTTGAATGACAGCTACGATAACGATGTGCTGTTCACTGTATGCAGTGTTTGACTCTTTGTCTCGTTCTCTACCACCATAGAGTGTTTAAAGATGGAGGTACACTTTTGTTTAAGATCTAAGTACTGTCTAGCGAGCTTTTCAATATTTACTCCCTCACTTTAATCCTGCTTAGAATGTCATTCTAATGTCAAGACTTAATGCAGAATTCCCAGTAGAGCTCCATTCTCTGAATTTTCATCTGACCTTCTACATTCAAGCATCTCAAAGGGATTGTTACACGTCACATGTACAGTAGATCATGCATAGTGAGGACACAGTGTCAGGCACATGCCTCCAAATTGTCTTTCTCAAGGTTGCTTCTGAGGTGAACCCAGAATCAAACATTTGACCTACCGGTACTAGTTATAAGACAGATACTATGATTACACGGGCCATGCCACTTCAAAGTATGATGACAAATCTGTATCTTTTTGCATTTTACAATATTGAACAATAAGTGACAGAGTTGTTCACATAGTGATAGTCAAGATTAACTCTGAGTCTGCAGAGATGTAATTACTCCACCGTTGTACCTTCACTTTTCCACTTCGGGAGAGACGTAGTCAGTGCCATTTTCCTCCTGTATTTTCACATGTAAAGTTATTGACAAAGATGCAACACGGACCAAAGTTGATGCAGAAATATTTAGCGACCTCGTTGGAAAAGGCTATGTGGTAGGTTGCTGATAGTTTTGCAAATGAGGGTGCGCTATAAAGACCTCCACAAGATCTCTACACAGAATAGAATAATTTACTTTTTTTTTTTTACTATTTCTTTACAGTTTTCTAGTTGGTCACCAACAAGAAACAAAGATTTGATGGTCTCATTGAATTATATGTTAATGTTTAATTAAACAGGTTGGGACACATGATTATTCGCCTCACCCACCCTGCTCCTGCAAAAAAAAAAAAAAAAAAAAAAAAAGGCATTTGTGTGTGTGTGTGCGCTTATTAGTAGATGAATGAAGCTGTGCTTCGATGAAAGTCCACTGGTGAAGAAAAACTGCAGCAGTTCAAATAAACAGGCACTCCAAGACATGCAACAAAAAGGCAAATGGTTAACATCCTGGTGTCTGACATTAATTGTCATGTGTGTGTCATATTCTTTTTAGTTGTGCAAAGTAACGGCACAGCCTTTGCTTGAATTTAGATTTAAAACAATTATTATCCTTCTAGCCGCTAGGCACATCGGCCTCACATTGCAGAGGTTCAGGGTTTGATTCCGGCTCCGGCCTTCCTGTGTGGAGTTTGCATATTCTCCTTGTGGCTGCATGGGTTTTCTCTGGGTACCCCAGTTTCCTCCTACATTCCAAAAACATGTAACACAGGTTGATGGAAAACTCTAATTTGTCCCTAGCGGTGATTGTGAGCGCAAATGGTTTGTCTATGTGTGCCCTGCGATTGGCTGGCAAACAGTTCAGGGTGTACCCTGCCTACTGCACAAAGGCAGCTGGGATAGGCTCCACCACACCCCGCAACCCTTGTGAGGATAAGCGGACTGGAAAATGGATGGATGGCTTATCCCTCTAGGGCACCTCCCCTCAATGGTGGAATGGGTGTACCTGTACTGCTTGTTCACGAAAAAAATCAAAGTGGAGAAATTTGATAAGCATGACAAAAATAGAAGAAAGTTTAAAATAAGAGCTTTAATAGCAAGGCAGCAATACATAGATATTGTTAAAAGTCATAAAAATAGCAACCTAATAAAAGGAAAATTAAATGACAATTCAATAATCGCTTTAAAAAAAAAAAATACCGTAATTCTACTCACTTCTAGGCAAAGATGGAATCCCTCAGAAGGCTAAACTGACAAAAGTCCTGATGATAAATAAGTGTTACAATCCTCGATGTGTTCGAAAGAAAGGGTGTAAACCTTAAAAAAGCAAATTGGCCCTTTTTGGGTCGATAGCCGAGTGATCAGTTCGCTTTGATCTACTACAATCTAATTTACGAAGACATTTTGGAACGAGGCAAAACAAGCTGCCGATTTGGCTTTCCCTACTACAACACAAGCATATTTTCCTAATCTCTCAATCTCTCATCTAAAACAAAATGCAAAAAGGAATGGGATATCTTTTGTCAAAGCATCTACGCACCCTGCTTGATCTGGGAAGGAAGCTAATGGGCGTCTAGGAGCAAAAAGAGCCCCGAATGATAAAAGCACATGCTTATATAACCTTTCTGTGTAAAGTTTCAGAGAAAGACAGTCTCAGCTGTAGAAGGCTGTTTTCTCATTCCAAGGGAATCGCCGTATGTGGGACATATAGTTCCTATTAAATTGGGGAAATTATGAGTCATGTTTTTATCTCTTTCCTGTCAGCCTTCAACCGTTAGAGCATTTTACTTCAAGTTTCAATACAATGCCCTCCGACGCAATACAATCTACTTTTAAACAAGCACATCATGACATTTACATTACATGCAATGATGGGTCCTGATATTTGTAAATCCTACAACCACATGAATCATATTTGTGAGATTACCATTCACGGGCACTCTTTCTTAACTAAATAAAACATAAATAAAGCTGTTTCTGTTGGCTACGCCAGTTTATATAATATGTAAGATGATAGCTGTATAGCAGGGGGGGCCAACCTTTTTGACGGAAGATCTGCTTTTCGATCAACCACCCTCCCACGATCGACCCGTTAACGCACACGCGTTCATTCGCACGCACTCACAAAAGCATTCCATGATGAGCAACAGCCATAATGGCCCCTAAGATGAACGAAACAGAAAAATAAACTAGACACAAGAACTTGTGAGTTTGTGAAAAAGAAATCACTGCCTACCTTTGTCGAGACCTGATGCGGAGGCATGGGACGCACTTTTGCAGCGTGTTAACGATCGTAGCTCACTGTACCATTTTAAAATGCTTCTCTCTGCCCTCCAGATTCCCATACTTTGCCACTGCCCTCAGTGAATTGTACACGAAACAAACTCTGAATTAGAATAATAAGGACAATAAAAGATATAGCGCGATAGTTCTGACCGCGAACAACTTCCAGTGATGCAGGTCACGCACGACCGTAGGTTAAAGGAGACCTGTTTTTTAATTTTATTTTATTCTTTCAATACTTTTTGTGAAAGTGAGACTGATTGGATGCTAAGGGTGCAGTGTGCACTAATACAAGAGTATATCATATTAATAAC